GTATTATAACAGTCTGTATGAAGACAGTCTGTATGCTAACAGTCTGTATGCTAACAGTCTGTATTATAACAGTCTGTATTATAACAGTCTGTATTTTAACAGTCTGTGTACGAACAGTCATAACTTAATTATTTCAACTGCAGCTTTTCACTCATTTCCTAAAAAAAGTAAAAAGGTTATAACTCGTGTTCCTTGAAGGGATGCCACTGCCTTCTGTCAGTGCACGTTCAAAGATGTGTTGTGAATGACTCTCAGTTACTACCACACCAAACTTAGCTCAATCTGTCAAACTGAATGGGCTACAGCTATTTTTATGTTTGCTGAATTTTATTTTCTGGCTCCTGTCCTGATTTTTTTACTCTTGTTGAAATCCTTAACTGAAAAAAATTGAATATTTTTAGTAGATTTCTTTCTTTTATTGCTTAAACATGTAGGGTTATACATACAGGAAGTAAAAAATAAAATAAAAATGCTGAGCTGTCAAAATCTTACAATGACCCTCATGCTCTCCTTGGGTCCAAATGACCCACAAGGCCTGGCGGGTCACTTTGACCCATGGGCAGCAGGAGAGTTAAAGGGATAGTCAGGACATTTTGAAGTGTGGAAAGGTTCTGTAGATAAATAAATGGATCAGGATGCTCCAGGTTTCAGACCTGAGCTGTTCCGGGTGCGTCTTCATCAAACCGTTTTGTTTTCCTCCTCCCTTCTGAGCGGCGCCTCTACCTCAACAGCGCGGCCCGTCTGAGGTTTCTGTTTGGACTTTATCTGAGCCGTGGCTCCAGAACCTGAGCTCTCACGTTTGTGTTTTTATCCCAGAACTGGAGAGTTTATTACAGTTTGTTAACAGTAAGAGAACACGTGCATTTGTTGGGACCAGAGGAAGACCAGGTGAGCCCCAAGAAGCCGTGGGAACTCGGGTCTGGGTGGTTCTGATAGTTGCAGAAGTGCTGAGTCATTCTGAGAATGCTGAGTCAGAACTTTCCGTCCTGTTTATGGTTTCTTCTGCACGTTTCTTTGCAACCAAACGTTCTCCACAGTTTATTTTAATAATTCAGATTTAAATGTTAGGCTCAATCAGGAAAAAAACATTTTTTAATAATTTTTATACTTTTCAAAATATTGAACTTTATTAAAATAAAGCTCCTCAGACAAACTGTCTCTTCAGTTCCTTAAAAAAAAGGTTGTTCTTTTAAATCGGCTTCAGCTGCTTGTTGCTTTTAGCTTTGGTTGCTATTCTACAACATTTAGCTACCGTTTTGCTACTTTTAGCTTTTTAACTACTGTTCTGTTCATTTTAGCTCGTTTTTTTTCCTGCTTTTAGTTTGTGTTTTTGCTCATTTTAGCTTTTGTCGTGCTTGATTTTTTTTTTACATTAAAATCTCAGTTTTAGCTTCATCAGCCAACGTCATTCAGCACTTAGATCACACACACACACACACACACACACATACAGTGTGTGTTATCCACAGTAATGTGTTACTGATATATTATATAAATATATTATTTATTTCTATCTGATTGATGTTAACACCAAAAGAAGCTATACATCTGCTTCATCGATTACTCGAAGGCCTTTCACGTCATTCAGCATCATAAACTATGGAGATGCTTCCACGAAATTGGCGTACCACCACATCTGACTGACCTCATCAAGGCATTATATCACAACCAAGAAGCCACAGTAAGAACAACATGGTGACACAGATTGGTTCAAGATCAGTAAAGGAACCGACAAGGATGCATTCTGTCACCCCTAAGCTTCGACCTCTATACCGAAACGATCATGCGCAGGGCAGGACTGGATGAAATGAACATCGGCGTAAAAATCGGAGGAAGAAACATCAAAAACATCAGATATGCCGACGATACCACTCTAATCGCAGAAAGTAAGAAAGACCTGGAACAATTGCTCATGAAAGTAAAGGACGAAAGCGAGAAAGCTGGCCTGCGTCTGAATGTCAAAAAAACGAAGATCATGACCACAGCTGTAAATAAGAACGTCAGCGTTAAGATGAACGATGAAGAGGTGGATAAGTTTATATTCCTCGGCTCCAACAGACTGCAATGGCAACCGCACACCAGAAATCAAGCGTAGATTAGCGATGATATCCATGAACGAAATTTGGATGAGCAGAGACGTCAGCCTCAAAACTGAACGCAGATTAGTGTTTCCAATTGCGATATATGGAAGCGAAACATGGACCACAAAGAAATCAGACGGGAGAAAAATGGATGCTTTTGAGCTATGGTGTTGGAGGAGCTTCCTAGGGATTTCGTGGACAGCACATATCACCGATCTCCAAGTCCTGGATCGAATCAAACTAAAACTCTCGTTAGAGGCCAGAATCACCAAACAGCGATTCGCCGACTTCAGCCACGTGATGAGAAGCCTCTCCTTGGAGAAAGACGTGCTCGGAATGGTTAGCAGGCGTAGAGGACAAGGCCGACAAGAACTCGCTGGCTTGACACCATCAAGCAGGATACGAACCTGACATTTACCCAAATAAAAGAAGCTGTATATGATCGTCAAGGACGGAGAACGTTGATCCAGCGAGTGACCGACAATCGACCACGACTGAACGGATAGTAGCAGATCGATGTTTAATAGATAAACTCGAGCCACCTGCTGTTTTCGGGAACACTTTCGTTAAAGTTGAAAATCATTAAATAAAGCAGAAGTGCCCTCGTTGATAACTCCTAAGCCCGTCTGGGCGACTTTTATCGCCCATAAGATCCTTGAAGCTGTGAGGTGAGGCGTTCACGGATCAGATGTGTCTCTGTCGCATTCCACAAACGCTTGATGAGCCGAGGTGATCTGCGTTCTTAAAAACATGTCAGATTAATCCCAAACACGCACGGAACAGCCCAGTTTCACCAGAGCAGCGGCTCACCTCCTTCCCACAATGCACCTCTGCTAAAATCACGTTCCTCCACATGTTGTCAAATATTCCTCAAAACACCAAATCTGCAGCTCGTGACAAAAAAATAAAAAGACAACCGTAAGACCACTGCAAAAGATGAAAGGGCGATAATGTTTTTTAATTGTTGTTGAAACGAAACTGAAACCAACGAAGGACATTAGATCTGAACGCTGAAGTTCAGCCTCCAAGTCTGAGGTCCTCAGATGGTGGACAGGCCCTCTGAGGTTCGGACCCAAGTAGAGCAGTTTAAGGTTCTTGAGTGAGGGATGGAGCGTGACCGGTGCAGCTTCTGCAGTGTTGTGGACTCTGTGCCGGTCCGTTGTGGTGAAGAGAAGTGACAATGTCCCCTGGATGCATCCTTAGGGAGGCTGGGAGGAGACCCAGAGAGGATTCAGGACACTCCTGCTAGACCATCTCTCAGCTGGTCTGGGAGTCCTCCCATAAGAGATCTCTGGGTCTTGCTGCTCCTGCTGCTGCCCCCGAGACCCGAGTCTGGAACGAGCAAGATAATGGGCGGATAAAAAATTAAAATCAGTCCTTTTAGCTCTTTCATTTATAACAACCTCACTTTTTAGGAAGAGATGTGTCTGAAACATCTGCACAGCTTTTCTGAATCCTCCCCACACGTCAAAAACATCCGAGCAGGTTTTTGCAGTCCTGCGGCCCGTTTGTCTTCACCACGCCGGTCCTTCATGAAGGCAGAGTTAGGTGGTTCAGACAGATCTGGAGGGAGCTCGTGAAAACACTGCAGGAAGTTTAGTCTTATAAATAACAACGAATGCAGGAAAACATAAATAAAGGTTTGTTTGTGCCAGAGATCACCGCCTGTCCAGTTGAGTCAAATACCGTTTTACACAAACTCACGTGAAACGATGTTATCTGGGATCTGTTTGCACTCGGGGGGTGTGTTGAGGATCACTCTCAGCTACTGACATCCAGATTTTAGCTCAGTACTTTTAAAGTTAGCCAAAGTATAGACTGTGTTCTCTACTGTCCATTAGCCGCAGCTGCCATCTTGAAATCGACTCCAAGCCGCTCTAGAGCTACGTTCATAGTTATTTTCTGAAAGTGGAGATATTTTGTGAACTTGTTTTTTCGAGTCGATGTAGAACAGAAGGTGAGCTCAGCTAATTCTCCATGATTCTGGTGGTCTAGGGTCTGATGGCTCCAGAGCAGGTTAAACAATCGGAGCAGATCTCTGTAGAAATGCAAGAAAATAAAAAGTATAGATAAGATTATTAGGAAGCGGCGTTTCCCTGCAGTGCCCGGCAGCAGTGTATGAATAATTCAAGCAGGGAGTTGGCTTGTCATAACTCAGCGCGCCACCGTGACGCGGCGCGACGCGGCGGCGCGCTGAGTTATAGGCACATTATGCAAGCCGCCGCGCCGCGTCTTGCCGCGCGCGTCTTACCGCGCCGCGTCTTGCCGCGCGCGCCGTGCCGCGTCTC